GGAAAAATAATGAATTTCTTTTTACTACACCTAATATATTAGCCAGGGTTGGCAAGTAACGCATTACTTCGTTGATTATTATCTTATTATAATAACGATTTGATAATGACTTTGGTAGTGCTTTTTAAGCCTAAAATTCTATAAGTTCGATGCAATACTTTCGATTTCTTTCTTCTTGGTTGAAATCTTTCAATATCGGTTATTGAATACAACGTGCTTTGTACCAAATTCGTAGTATAGTTTAATAAAGTAACAGGTTCCAACTCATCATCGTCTTTTTCACTTTCAGATGATGCTTCTTTATATAAGATTAAAGAACTATTTATTATAAAATGAAATAAATTGATTTTATTATCTACATACATATGATAAATTTCTACATTCTTAATGAAAAGAGATCATATATATATATATATATATATATATATATATATATATATATATATATATATATATATATATATATGATCTCTTTTCATTAAGAATGTAGAAATTTATCATATGTATGTAGATAATAAAATCAATTTATTTCATTTTATAATAAATAGTTCTTTAATCTTATATAAAGAAGCATCATCTGAAAGTGAAAAAGACGATGATGAGTTGGAACCTGTTACTTTATTAAACTATACTACGAATTTGGTACAAAGCACGTTGTATTCAATAACCGATATTGAAAGATTTCAACCAAGAAGAAAGAAATCGAAAGTATTGCATCGAACTTATAGAATTTTAGGCTTAAAAAGCACTACTCCGGAAGAGCTATACTCTAGAAAAATAGACATTGAGGTATGTATATAAAGTTTTATTTAATTTGGTTGATTAACTTTTATTTATTAAATAACTAATAGGTTTTATTTTAGGAATACGAAGAAGCTTTAGCTTTAGCGAATACATATAATTTGGACACAGATCTTGTATACCAAACCCAGTGGAGAAAGTCAGAATTATCCTTGAATGCCATTGCAGAACATCTGAGTAAAATAAGCAAAAGATCTTGGGTTTTAAATGAATGTGTTGTACGTGTTCCTGATACTATGGAAGCTGCAAGGGAATTATTAAATTTCGGATTGAGAGGCGCAAATCTAGAAACTTTAGCAGCTATCGATATTTGTGATAATGACAAATTTGTAACTTCCGATATAGACGACGATTGGCAAACGCTAGATCAAATTACTGTAAGTTTAAGACAGGTAAGCAAAACTATATATGATAATATGTTTTATAAAATACATAGCATTACTTACATATTATAAGGAAAAATTGTACAAACTTAATTCAATTTAGAAATCGGTAATAGGTACAGAAAGTCAATGAAATGCTTGAAAAAATAGATATAAAAAATTTATCTGAGGCCCAGAAAGATTTAATTAAATATCGGAGGAAACTTCTAAATCATTTAGACAAATTGCTCACATATGAAATTATATTAGAGTCGCCACTCAAATACAAGAAAGAATTTTATGAAGAGTTTCGAAGGTTGTCACCTATTAAAAATGCGATTAGGTATTAATATAATAACATATTTTGTCACTGATGTATTAAATACAATATGTATTTTTCTTGTTACAAATATTTTTTAAATTACAGATTTGCCAAAGATAGTGATTATCGAGCCGTTGAAATTATGTTTACTTATTATGGAGAAATTTTATTGCCTCATTGGCTAGCAATTATCAGCTTTTTTCCAGAGACTTTGAATACATTAGATTACCAAAAATTGCTACCAGAATGCGATTCAGAAGGTCAATTATTTTTATTAGATCAACGTGAATTACGACAAAAAGATTGGTCAGAAAAATACGAGTTTAATGAAGTAATAAATTTCGATGATCGAGCAGAAATATTATATGAATTGGATCCTTCATTATTAATATATAGGTAAGAATACTTTGTATTGTACAGGGTGTCCCGATTTTAAATGACCAAACCTTGTGTAGGGAATCGATAAGTTAAAAAAAAGTCTTTTAAAGATATACTCATTTTTGTTTTAGAAGAGCGCAAAAAAAAGGACAAAACAATGACTGCATTCAGCAGAAAAAGCAGCTTTGCAACTGTTGTAAAATTCTTAGATATGATTGATTTATATAATACATTTAGATCCAGTGAGGAACTAAGAGCAAGACCAATCATATTAAAGAATTTTACAACAGTTGCAAAACTGCTTTTTTTGTTGAACGCAGCCATAGTTTCCATTTTTGTACTTATTTATTACTTATTCATTTACACTTATTTATTCACGTTGTCACTTGCATAATATAGATATTGTTCAAAATGTTGGCCTTTTGCAGCAATGTACGCATTGCAGCTCGTGTTGCAAATTGATCTGGTCAACGTAATAATTTACCGATTCGGCACTCTGTCTGGAAATCGGCGCTCATACTCTCGCACTGCCTTTAAAGCATTGTCGTTGAAGTCGTACACGAAAATAATATTCCAAAAACAATATTTCGAAAATTACATTGTGTCTTTTTTGCGATTTTCTTCAAAATAAAGCAAAAACGAGCATATTTCTAAAGGACTTTTTTTCTTAGTTTATTGATTCCTTACACGTTCCTGAAGTGTGGTCATACAAATTCAGGACAGCATATGTTATCCGCATTTTCTTTAGTATTTATCATCAATTATTTTTCTTTTAGAAATACACAGCTTACACCAGATTTATTACAGAAATGGTATAGGACTCGTGCTTATGAAATTGAAAAGAATAGCTCTTTAGTAGATAATGCTTTGCAGTTAGTTAAAATTGGAAAGTCTCATAATATTGAAGGCTTGGAAGATTTGTTATTAGAATTGGAAACTTTAGATGATCTTGTGTACACAGTACATTTGGAGGATATGCCGTTAGATAAATTAGAGAAAATGAGCAACATGGAGAAGATAAAACTTTTGATGAGTACATCAAATGAAGTAAATTTTGTTGAAAATATAAAGAATCTTTTATTGCCTTTTATTAAACGAAGGCATCAATATTTGGTGCGTATAACAAAATTTAGGTCATTGAAATTATATGTATACGTATACATATAATTTTAGTGATCTAATATAAAATGATATTATTTTTATATGAATTTTACATAAATTTTTATATAAATTTTAGGGTGGAGATCTTCAGAAATTCTTACTAAGTGATTATCTAATCTGCTTAAGCAAAGATGATTTGACGTTTCCAGTTAAATTCTTTGAGTGTTTAAAACAGACGCAGGACATTGAAATAATTGAATTGATAGATGATGTTGTTACTTTAGCTTTAGATTGTATATATGCCTGTGATGATCTTGATATGCATGAAAAAGCTAAAGATATCCTAGATTCGATATCGAAAACTCATGAAAAAAGATCAAACGCAACACAAGAAGATGTATGTGATATGTCATTAGAAGAATGTGAAAGAGAACTTGATTGTGTTAGAATTTTAAGCAAATACAGTGTAAAAACAACGTTAAACTTTATACAAAAGAACAGAAACGATCCTGATGTTGCTAGATCATTGTTAATTCAAACGGCAACCAGTTTAAATAAAAGGTTGTG